TCCGGGAGATTTTCTCTTGAAACTGGGGCGGACCTGCAGAGTAAACACGGCCATACTATACTTTTACAACCAATCGTAAGATTCTGCTGTTCCATCGACTTCTATCTGTATTCCATTCTTAAAACTGTGGTTTATAGACATTCTTTAGCGACGTTGAACGGTTGCAACAGTGATTAATTTGCGTTATGGTGCCAAAGTTGGCAACTATTCACTTTTTTGGAGGGGGGATTTGGCGTTTTCGCGGTTTATACGCAAGTACCCAAATTTATTTAGTTTCCTATTAATTAGCTGTGTTATTTCTTTTTTTCATGTTTACAATTCCTTTCCTTAATGTTAATGTTCCTCATTGTTAATGACCGCATAATCGTCAATGTATATAACAGACCGTGAAAGTTCTCTGAAATTTCATTATTTATACCGTAACCGCCAAGTCAGTTTTGCCATTTTTTTTTCTGTGATAAAATTACTGCTCTAATTATGTATGTATGGTATAGTGTTAAAAATTAAAAGCATTTCAAAAGTTTGATTATAATCTTTGGATCAGGCACGCATTATGAGGACAGCCTATTAGTGACCTCAAGTTGTTTACCAATAAGTTAATTATGAGCATCCCGTGTTTTGCCATTCCGTGAACACAAATCATTCTCAGCTAACAAGGATAACATGAATAATTAGTTAACATGGAATCGTATCATTAATCGCTAACGTGCGATGAAAATTCTCAAAATAAATCATGGAAATCTTGTATTTTTTGAATAATATTATTAGTCATTAGTTTTGAAGGCTCTTCGAAAAATGCACTTTGTTCATTTAAAAAAAAAAATGAATGTTGAGAATGCGTTTATTTAACAAAATGCAATATAAAAATCCTCCATTTATTTATAAAATAAGAATGCCTTCAGCTTTAGAGAATAAATTAAAAAGGCAGATTGAGCTGTATTCACAATTTTTATTTCTGGAGAAAAAATTATTAATGTAAGATCTTTCAAACATTTAAATAACGTAGACATGCAAACGTCAAAATACTTTTAAACTCACGAAATATTATCACTGGGAATACAGTTTTTGTTGAAGCTGTAAAACATTTCACGGTAATTTTCTTCATAATGTAAATGCGGTGCTCACGTTTGAATCAATCAGAATGACATCTAAGAAAAAGAATTCTGACTTATTAATGACGTTGCCAATTCGAGAAAGCAAATTATTCAAAAATAAATAAGCTGTTGGAAATTCGATGGCTGAAAAAGTTAATCGCAGAAATTTTTGAACAGCACAATTGAAAACCTTTAGGGCATCTTGCATAATTGAGTTGAAATATGATTATCTGGTGGAAATCGGAAAAGTGTTTATGATAACTCATTTTTTTATTTTTCCAAGAAACATACTTCTCTTTTATTTTCCTAAATATTTTTCAACTACATATATATTGGATGGAATTATTATATTATAAAGAAAACCTGAAGCACCAAATTTTCTTAAACTGCGGTGGAAGACTGATAAATATATGAAGCATTTATTTGAAAGCAAAAGTACACGTATTAAACATCAAATTGCAAATATAGTGCTTTGAGATCAATGCTCATTTTAATATGTAGTGATTCACGTTTTCGCGACAGAAAATTAGAAATACAAAAGTCTACAGAAAATTAGTGTTTCAGAGAAACTTTCTTTTTAAATTCCGGTTATCGTTAAGATCTTGATACAGATATACCCTTGCAAGATCTTGATATAGACTTTAATTTTGCTTGCGTTCGTGTACACTGCGGAAATGTAGGAAATGAGAAAGCCGATGCTCTAGCAAAGCTAGCCACGAAAGTTCACATTCATTTAAATCTCTATATTCCTGTTTCTCAATGAGGATGCTATCTGTATTTGGAACAGTGAATATTTGGACCAAAGCACAATGTTTATTACCAAAAGCACAATGGACCAAGAGTTTTTTTCCTGCAATTTTTTACAAAATAAAAGTTGGAAAGTTTTCAGCAGATTTTGAAGTGAATTAATGTTTGACTGGACATTAATTTAAGAAATTTTAAGAGCTATTTAAAGCGACTTTAACTTGCTCTAAATGCTTTGTGCAGCACTGGTAGCTACGATAAAGATATTAATTATATTTCTTTTGCTTGCGTTCATATACCTAGAGAAAGATACTTGAGGCAACTTTGAATCACATGTGTGTATTTTGGCCACGAATGTTTTCTGAACTTTTCGGACTAAAGCGAAAATTTCTGATTTTCGGAATTTCATTCTCATTGAGTTCTCTTAATTTTATTACTATATTTTATTTTATTTTTCTTTTCTTTATCACTATTATTTTTAGTCCAAATATACGTTAGTCTAGAAGAGCTATTAGTCTCGAAATGGCATTTTGCGTCGAATCAATTTAAATGTAGAATTACTTTTCAAATTGTTGCCACCAAATATCGCCCTGGATTAAATTTAAATAACTAAATAATGAAGAATTTACATGAATGCATGTGCATTTCTCGCAATGTGAAAAAACAACGGTACCCAGAGTCATAAAAATTTGAATAACATAATCCTCTACACAAACATAAGCATCTGGAAACCTGAATTTGGAATGTGAAATTTGTTTTATTGTCTATTTCATATTTTATAAAACCTTAGCGAATTTTTGATTAAAATAATCAAGAATTTAAAAGCGAGCAGTGGCAGTACGGTAAGGAACGAAACATTTTTATGTCCAGCGCGCGAGGAAATTCTAAAGATATTCTGTTTTAAAATGTTTGTAGTGCAATGTGGCGTTAGCCCAAATGCACTTGAAAGATGCATGTGTCCGTAAATGAAAAAACTCCCGCTTGGACGTAATATAAAATCTGAAATCTTTTGGATTTTATTTTATTATTTTATATAATTTTTTCCTCATTTGTGGTGTTATTGTATATTTCTTCATTTATTATGTTAGTGTTATAATTTACTTGTGTAAGCCACGTGGTATACTTTGAGAAACACGAAGAGTTGGAATTAGGATTAACAAAAAATATCATTAGCAAATCGGTTTCCTTTCACATACTCATCCTGGAAAAGAGTGGTTTTAAATTCAGAATGCATGCGGGCAGAATGTCGGACCTGAAAACAGCTGATGGGCCAGTTTTTTTTCAAATAAATATCTTTTATAACAAAATAAAATAAATTTTAAATTTCTCTTACTAAATATTTATCAAATTATAAAACAACAATAATAACAGCATACGAGGGAAAAAAGTTCAAATTTATATTTATTTTCTATGCGGATATCGTTTCAAATGCTACAAGAACAGAAAAGGCAGGCAGTGATACTAAAAACACAAGCGCAGAAAATACTGACAATTACGTTAGTAACGAGATAGCATTGTGTTCTGTTAAAACTCGACTAAACTTCATTGACGAAAAGAGATTCGAATATAGTGATAAAATAGCAATTTCGAAAAGTACGCAGTGAAAATATGGCAAATATTGAATATTCCCCAAAACAAAGGAAAATTAATAATTTGTTTAGGAAATAAAAACATAAAACGTGCATGAAAATTGGTAGTTTGGATTATTCACGTTCTTTAATTATTCGTGATCTGTTTCTCTGGCATTACCGATTGTACAGAATAATTATATGTATCACGGACGATTCTATGCTGGGAATAAAAATTTCAACATGTATATTTGGCTGTTCAATAAAGATCTGAACGCTGGTGTTCTGAATTAAAAAAATTTGCATATTATGGCAATTTGCTCGAAAAATACTGAAATAAAGATACAAACTATGCGTCCAAACAAGAACTGCGTATGAGCAGAGTATTGTATAACTTGTTGTTATGTGACAATTTTTGTGTTTCATTTACCCGAACGGATGATTTTTTAGGTGTTGGTTTGCAATATTTGGTGAAATTTAAAAGCATACATTGAAAACAAAGAGCCATCAATTGATAGATCGATAGACTGGAAGCAGAATAGTCTCAAATGCAAACTGCTAGCGATTTGAATATAACACTCCAGCGTTGAATGCAACTTATGGAAACAGCTTCAGGATATCGGATCGAGAGTCATAGATCTTAAGCAACGTCATCCAAAAGCCACAACAGCCAACGAAGGTCCTCCGTTTCAGTGAGTGGCGACAAAAAAAGGTTTTCTTTCTTTGGTGACCTGTACGCGGCTGCAGGAACTCTTGTTTCAAAGGCTACTATTTTCAGAAAACAACATGATATGCTGTTAGAAGACTACATGAGGCAGCCATGAAGGAGACTACACGAAGACTACATGTGCTCCATATTTTCCAGGTTACATGAAGTACATATTTTACAGAAGATTACATGAGGTCTGTTTTGAAGTTTGTGCTTCGCTCACTGTTTGTTTGTGCATTACGCATGATGGAAACAACACCAATGCTTAATGGATGACTTCCGATTCAGACTAGCAACTGGTTCTTGACATATCTCCATCTCGATAGAATCAGGGCTCTGTTACCTATCCTATAATGTCTGAGAAAGTCCTATAATATCTGAGACCAGTATGGAAATAGAAGTTCGAGGGTCTGAGTAGGCATCATGTTGCACGGGCGCCCAGTTATGTCCTAAGAATAAATACATTACTACCATTGACAGAGGCTCTATGTTGCACAGTTTCGGAAACAGATTTTGGAGTCCTTCACTTTTTTAGGGGAATTCATTTTTACTGACTACAACACTCGTCTACAAAGTGCTAATCATGAGAATGATTTTCTAGAAAGTAAGTATATTAAGCAGATGGTTTGATCTGGATAGCTAGAGTAAAGAGCCTACACCCACTTACTCAAAGTAAATAATTGGTATCCTCTGCACTTATACCTAATGTATTAACGATTAGTAGTCACTCAGAGCTTAAAATAGGAAGCAGCGTTATTTTACAGCTTCCGGCATTTTATAAACATAAGTATAAAATTGGTTCACAAAGATTATAAAGATAAGTTACAGTGTGAATTACAAAAAGTTTAAATACATGTATATCTTCATAAATAGAAAAATACTTACGAACATGTTTTCTAATGCATGTTTTGCTAACCAACAATTCAGAAATCCAGGAATAAAGAGGTTTCTAAGAGGGGCCCAACAAAGCTATAAAAGAAAAATGTTGCATAAAAAGGATATACTTAAATTAATTGCAATTAATTTATAACAATGATTTGCAAAATTATTCATCACCAATAAATTTTTAATCCAAGATTATATTTTGAAATGTATAATATTCGTTTTCTTAAAAAATAACATATTTATCAACAGAGCAACTTTGTAAAAAATAGGAGAAAATTAACAGTAATACAAAAAATTGGCGTTTATTTTGTGAGTAAGCTTTTAACCAAAAATATAGGCGCCTCTTAGCGTGATCACGATTGTCCACAGCCATTAGATAACATTAATCGAATGATAACATTAAAAGATGAGAAAAATTTCCTTTAAAATATCAATATTATTTAAATATTAAAAAATAACTAGAGACATATAAGTACTTACTTCCATACCATTTTCAGTAAGGAAAAAATACCTACTTAAAATAATACAATTAAAAAAATTTATTATATTATGGAAAAAGGGGCTTTTTTTAACGTTTTATGGGTTACGTTTATCTATATCATATTCTTATATCATGTTCTGCGCCCAACCATAAAATTCAATTCAAAAGCAATATCACAAAATAATTTTAAATTATTTAAGTATATCTTTAGAATTTTCGATAAACAATCTCGCGCGTTGGAGATAGAAATGTTTTTTTCATACAGTGTTGCCATTGCTCGCTTTTAAATCATTAAGTTTTTTACTCGAAAATTCATTAAAGTTTTACAAAATATGAAATCGATAATAAAACGAATTCCAAATTTCAAATTCGGTCTTCAACATGCCCATATTCGTAGGAGGATTACGTCATTCAAAATTCGATGGCTCTATGTATTGTTGTTTTATCACAATGAGAGAAACAAACATACATTTATGCAGATTTTTCATTATTTAATTTTCTTAAATACAAGGTGTTTATAAAGTCCCGGACCCATTTTGATGTTAACTCATAAAATAATAAAGATACTCGTAGATTAAAATTAATAACAAAAATGGTTAGATAGACTTAAAAAGTTTCATGACCCTTGTCAATGAACTTCCACGTGTGACCGTTCGTCGCACGGAGAATATCAAGTCGATATTCAATTTCACGCCAGGTACCGGCAAGCCTGTCGGTATCCACAGAGGCTATTGCGGTTGTAATTCTGGCTTTTAGGTCATCACTGTTCGACACTTTCCTCCTGTAAACGTTATCTTAGTCCATAACATTGCAATAGTTGCCAAAAACAAAAAAGAGAAAAATGCAATTAATAAGCAGACGATATTAAAAAAAGTAGAGATATTTAGACTGGAAAATGAAATTATCTGAAATTAACCACACGCGCAGACGATATTTATAAAAGTAAAGATATTCAAACCTGAAAGGGAAAATATATAAGTTATTCCATCAATAAATGCCATAAGTTTATTTATATCTTTATTACTTTATAAGTTAGTAAACATAAAAATGGGTCCGGGACTTTATAAACACCCTGTACAATGCAGGTCAATAATATTTGGGAGCAACAATGTGAAACGTGATACAGCCTTCTAATGTTTTGAACGCAAAATATGAAAACGAAATTAATAGCCCTTCTGGGCTAACGCCTTTCGGGCTAAAAAGTCATTAACAGTTAACAGTTTACGAAAATGAATTCTCCATTTTAGTTTCTGGAAATTCATATGCAAGGCTAAATTCTGTATGCCGTGTAGGCTATATGACGCTGTGTATTTTATGTTGTAAATCTGTGACGTCAATATGTTATGTCGCAATACTATGTATGTTATGTCTATGAGATGCTATGGTATGTTGTTACGCTATATCCACCTTTCATGTAGTTAAGTTACCTTGTGTATTTAATGTTGTAAATATGTAATCTGTACGCTATGCTATGTCATATCATGTTACAATGCTGTGTCATGTTATGTGATATGTCACCATGCAATGATACCATGCATGATATGTCACCATGCAATGTCCACCTGTCGCATAGGTCATGCCACACTGCGAATTGATTGTTGTAAATATGTAACTTCAATATGTCTTCTCTATGCTTAACTATGTTATGTCGCTATACTATGTTCACCTGTCGTGTAAGTCACATGCTCTAGATGGAGCGGGTCCCGGACTATACCCGATTAGTCTTTGAAAGCCGTCCGGGTATCTGGCCCTGCTCACACCTGTCACCTGTCAGCTTGAGGCTTTCCATTAATACCCATCCAGGCATTAAATTCTTCACCATTCATGTAAGTTGAAAATATTTTTAATTCTTCATCATATTTTATTGTAGGATTTATTAAATGGTTAGAATGCTTAAATAAGACCTTTATGTATTTTTTTTTTGAGATACCATTCCGAAACTTTACTGTTACCTTAAATCAAAACAAAATGCTTGACGACTAAATCCCTTATTTGGTGATACAGCTGTATTATTTGGTAATCTCTTTGCTTTATTTCTACCTCATTTGATCTTCTATTTGGCGTCATTTCTTCAGTTTAAAAATTTCATTCTGAAATATTTTGATAACATTAATCGATTTGTTGATCACAATAACAAGTATATTTTCCATATTTTCGTTCACAAAGGAGTAGGGTTTGGCAATCTGACAAAAATATTCGAATATTAACATAAATCACGATCACGTTAATTGGCGCCTACTGTAATTATGATAATTATGATGATTGTTAAATATGAATGATGTGAAAGAATGTGTAATAAGAAATAGTAAATATTAATAAATTTAAAGTGTCTTCATTTTAAATTCAGTCAAGAGGCCTACACCTTATTTTTAACCGGTAATCATTTTGAGAAGGCGTACAAAAAGAGAAATAGAAAATTAGCAAGGAATTTTTATATTTTTTATTTATTTATTTTTTCTTTTCAGAAAGAAGAATAAAGGAGACTATGGCAAAAATAACCTATCATTTTTTCCTCCCTGCGCCCGCCAAAAAATTGGTTAATTAAAATTATTTGAAGAACTTCTTTATTTGCCAAGTGCATCAAAACATAAATATGAAGAACTAAAACGTCATGATAAAATTAATTAAGCACTATTAAAAACGAATGGCAGATTAGAATACGCATATTATTTATTCGAGCGTTGATAAAAATAAATAAGTAAAAAAATGATGCATAAATGTCTTAAAGTTTGCGAACTAACATGATGGCTTTCATGATGTCAATTATAACGCACATACGTTTTCTTTCTTTTACTTTCCTTTCTTTCTTTTCTTTTTTGATTTGCGTTACATATTTCAAGACATTCTGACTCAGAAGTCTTGATATGTTGAAATAAATGTCATATTATATTTGTCTAATTAGATTGATTCAATAATTAGAGATGAGATAATCGGAATGATGCCAGGTAAAACAAAATCTTCTGTCAAAGGGATATTTTTTTATATTTATATTTGCGGGAATTTTTATTGGATGATAGATGTACACGCACTAGAAGAGAATTTAGAATTTTCATTAATAAGCTTTTATTTAGTAATTATAAGTTTTTATTTTATCGTACAGTAGAGACATTAGGTATTTTGAAAAGCAAAAGAGATGAAAAAATGAGCAATCCCCTCGACTGGAATCGAACCGCGGACCTCTGGAATACGCGTCCAGCGTGCTGACCACTACACCACAAAAGCATGCTAAGAAGGCGGGAGAAATACCTTATAGTACGACATAAAGGAAGTATTGTAATCACGAAAAATTTCGGGTAACCTATTTAATGAAAATATCGATTTTGACCGATATCGAATCCATTTGAATGATGCTTTTGCATGACATCTGTACGTAAGGACGGAATACAGAACTCCTTTTCTCAAAACGAGTTGAAAAATGGATTTAAAATAGATTCAGAAAAGAATATTTTGCGACGTCTCGTACAGGTACGTATGTACGTATGTATGTATCTCGCCTAACTCAAAAAGGAGTAGTCTTAGAATGTTGAAATTTTGTATATGGGACTGCTATAACACGTAGTTGTGCACCTCCTTTTTTGGTTGCAAACGGCCGGACCAAAAGTATATATATATATATATATATATACCCACTCTGTTACCTGGCTCGGTGAGCTCATTCTTTTAATTTTTATATGTTAATAAACTGTGCAATTTTTGCTTTAAAAGTTATAAGGTATTTCTCCCACCTTCGTGGTGATCTGCACGCTGGGCGCGTACTTCAGAGGTCCGCGGCTCGATTCCCGGCGAAGGCGTTGCTAATTTTTCAATCTCTCTCTGGCTTTACCTAATGTCTCTACAAAGTGATTGAACTATGTTTTTCTTATGTTCCAGTGGTTTTTACGCCTTCAGAACTAGAATAGTGAATTAAATCAGTTTGTGCGCCAACAGTGTCTTTTTGCCGAGTGGGGACAAAAGTAAACTTTCAGTTTTGTGCATCGAAAATCCTGTCTTCTTGCCTTGTGCCCGAATTTTCCGATTTTTCACGAAGATATTTTGAGTTTTTATGTATTTGTGTTTTGCCGTGACGTGAGAACTGAATTAATTGAGTGAGAAATATACTATCTGTAATGAAATTCGAAAAATAAAATTATTTCGTAAAATGAAATGCAACAAAAAAGTGTGTATAATTTAATAGGGCATACAAGGAAGTCATATGGTGTCCACACCAGATATTTTTTATTTAATGTTTTAAATGATTTTTCACACATATATTCGTTTAACGAACAAACTAAACATATCATAATTTTACTATTTGAAGACAACGAATAGAGAGGAAAAAAACGTTTCTATGAAGTTTGTATAAAAATTATAACTTAATTTTATAAATTTTGGAGACTTATTTAAAATCGCTCAATATTTTGACAAATTAATGTTTATTATTTTAAAATTACAACGTCTAAAAATGCATGGAATATAAAGTTTTGAAATTTTCACATGGTCTAAAGCAAACTTTTAGCCCTCTTTTAAAAGAAAAGCGATAAAAAAAGGGATATTTATCGAGCGATTTTTCTGGAGTTGTTTAAAAAATTCTGTTACTGTTTCTAGCAAAAGGAAAAGCGTTTCT